CCCTTCCCGTCGGAGTTCCCCCACGGGAGGTTGTGGGTTTAGCCACAGGCTGATACATCTTCACAAATAAGATTAGAACTTCCTTGTTTGGTCCCCAAGGATTGGATTTGCTCAGCAGAAGACAACAATTTATCAAAAATTAGGGATAAATCTGCATCTTTTCCGGCCAAAAAGTTTGATCACTGCAAATGCCAGAAGAAGAGGAAACCAAAAAAACAATAACAGCGATCATTTACATAACTGGAAACTCAAATTCAATCAACAAGCTCAATATTTCATATGCCCGAAAACCAAATTATGTAAACAAATAACATCACCAATCACGGAATCAGAGATCCACACAGTGCCCATGCGTCCATGATGATTAATCATAAACGAAAAGCTAGAAGTCCAAATCAACCACAACTACAATTCGAATCAACCCGATCTTAACATTACAAAAACCCAGAAAGCCTCGAATCTCAGCGTCATCACATCGAATAAATGAATGATGAAAAAATTAAGATACTAAGAAACAAAGGATTTAAAATTGAAAACCCTAACCTGGAATTGGGGAGTTCGATTTCAACGAACGAATTGCTGAATTATGAAATCCCAATTTCACCGTCGTCGCAGTATGAATAAATACAAAAGATGGAGAGAGAATAAAATAATTTACAACTATGATTGATGGATTGATGAGCTTGCTGCTCATCAGGCGACCCAAAAAAAATTCAATTTTAATTAGAAAAAAATGTAAAAATGTCTTTCACGCGAATTTTCCATAATACCCCGGAATATACCTTTCTATTTTTCTCGAAAATTATCCACAAACTCAAGCTCCTGGGCGAGGGTATGATCTGGTGTATGACGAACCACAGTACTCAAAGGTACGCTCTCTAAAGACTCTTTTTCATTTAGAGGCTCTAGATGTTAAATGGTGTCGTTTAGTAGTTTGCAATGCATGAACTTGGTCAACGGCTGTTTACCCCTATTATTACGACGTCGTATCTGTCTTCCGTTGGGCACATTTTTTTCTTTGCCATAATCTGATCCCCTCTCTCCCAACAGATCGAGAGGGAGAGAGAGATTGTTTCTTCTTCGTCTTCCTCCTCCTCTCTCGATCTCTGTTTTCGATCCTCCTTCGTATTCTTCGTTCTCTGAAATGCTTAATTGTAAGTAAAGTTCTGTTTTTGTAATGTTTGTGTTTGAATCGGGATCAGAATCTCTTTTCTCACAGGCTTTAGATTTTTCTTTCATCGATTGATTTTGTTACATTCTGGAAAATTGATGCCTCTTCCGCATCTAAATGGTCTGTATTTGTGTCGTTGGATTGCCGTTTGAGATATATTGATGGATTTGATTGGTAAAAGAGGTTTTTTTTTATTCCTTGTAATGATGAATCGATGATGAGTCATATGATGCCTGTACCGTAAGTACATGGTGATCATGAAGACACCATAAAACATCGACCTTCCGGGGACGGGTTTTTACGTTGTTTGGTATTCCTTTTGTACCATGTGCTCGCTCATCCAAATCGGAGATATAGCACATATATTGGTTTTGTAGATTTGCTTTTCTGGTGGGACGATTGGCAGGTTGTAGCTTTGTTGGAAATTAGTTCATTGGTTGAATCTCGAGAATCTGAATCGGGTCCATTGATTTTGGGAAGTAGATTTGTATTTTCTAAGAGCTGGTTTTAACTGGGTTTCCTCTTGATTCTGTCTTAATTGCTTGGATTTTGTTCTCTTATGCGTTTTTCCATTGTGAACACTGACAGTGTGTTGCTAGAAGAACATAATGTTGGTTTGTTGACCCGTTTTGCCTAATCACTTAATGTGGGCACAGACATTGGTTTTCTATGTGGTGATTGCTGACATGCATGTGAATTGTTGTGTCATCTTTCCAGGGTTGGTTGAACAAAAATGGTGGCTGTCGGTGAATGGAAGGTTCCTAACATAGGAATGCTACTGATTAATGTTTGGATACTGGCTCAAGTGACCCTTTGATGACCACTGTCAGTGTAGGATTTGTTTTAAGTTTTTCTTGATCCCCATATAATGTGGAGTTTTGCTTCGAATGCTATTGGGAGTATTAAGCTAAAGAAGTCTCCTAAAGATACGGGTCAGGCCTCATGTGAATGCTCAGATGACGAGGTTTCGGCTGTTAGTAGGGATGAAGAAGGATTGGAATGTCCGATTTGTTGGGAATCATTCAATATCGTTGAGAACGTTCCCTATGTATTATGGTGCGGTCATACTCTTTGCCAGAATTGTGTCTTGGGGCTCCAATCTGCTGTCTTGAGACTCCCGGCCCAAGATATCAAGGTCCCATTCGTCATTGCATGCCCATGGTGCCACTTATATTCATTCAGGCTCATCTATAAGGGAAATCTAAAGTTTCCTCGAAAGAACTTCTTTCTCCTCTGGATGGTCGAAAGTCTGAACGGCGACAGGACGAACTCTGGTTCGTCTGGTAGTCAAGACAAGCAATCTGTTTGGTCTCCCAGATGTGATCAGAACACCGATTTGATCACAAGGAGTGTCCTGTATAATGAATCTCCTGAAAATTTTGCTGTCCAAGATCATATTGGCAGGCCGAGGGCACTGAATTTCTCTCTTGATAAGTCTCTTGACTTGTTCATCCATTTCACCTCCAAGTTCCCGTACGTGATAATATTTCTTCTGATCGTCTTCTTTGTTATACCTGGAAGCGTCATCGTCTTGGCCCTCTACGCTCTCCTCACGATCGTTTTCGCAATCCCATCCTGCCTGGTCCTATATTTCTCGTTCCCTGTTCTGGAAAGGTTGGTGAGTCAAATAACGTCATGAATGTCGAAGCTGCTGAACTCAGGATTCATCTTTTTCGGTTCTTGTTTTTCTCCTTCAGTCAAGATATATATTCAGGTAAATGGAAACACTTTTATTGCATGCTTGAACATTGTATTTGTGATCTTACTGTACAAGTTTCGGATGATTTCGTTTAGAAACGATAATGTCTGTGTTGGAAATTGACAATTCCTCTTATGATAAATGTAACAGTTTTACATCAGTGGTGTAGGGATCAGAAGCATGAGGGTGGAAGTCGGCCAGTTGCTCTCATCATGTTAGCTTTCTCTCTAACCTTCAACTCTTCGTTCTTTCTGGTCTCTTTGGCATGTCCTCTTGCATCTGCTGCAATCTTCTCTATGTGTCCGACTTCTTCCCTAAACTTATACAAAGCATTCATCTTTCTCTTTTCCACATGCCCCTGTTGTTCATGTTTTCATTGGTTATTGAAGAATTAAGAGTTTTGTTTTGGGGGGGGATAGGGAGAAAGGGACATGATATGATACAAGAAGAGTCAAAGAACAAAAGACCTCTGTCCCTTCCAGCTTTCTCCTCGTTTTCTTCTTCCTCTTCTCTTCCCAAGACAGAATCTTGTCGCTTAGCTTCTTGTACCTGCCAAGTTCGAACTGTTGGTTGTTAGCTCTCGACACTAAACATTCAGAACATAACATGGTGAAAGAAAAAGAGACACACTTCTCTTCAAGTTTCACCATTTCAGTTTCATTCCAATGATCAGCCACGAGTGCTGCTTCCAGCGTTGTCGTTACAGGTTTCGCTTCTCCCCTGCTAATTTTTTCATAGAAACCCTGCATACTCAGATCACATGAAATCGAAATAACGTATAACCGGTAACTGTAAAGTTACCTTATGGAAATGTCCATATGATAGCTTGTCATGACCTGTGAATCGGAACAGGATCTTGAGAAGTCACAATTTATACGCGAAAGGGCGTGGAAGATGTGTGAATTGAGAAAGCCCGCTTAAGCAAAAATACCTTTCCTTTGACTAAAACTCAGGGTCAGAAGGCATTTCGGGCAAATGGGTTTCGTAAAGCTGTTAGCTTTATGTTTCAATAAAGAATAATGGAACTACGCAGAGGAAAGAATCCAATGGAGTTTGTACAAGAATTTCGAAGGAGGAAAGCCTTTTATGTCAAGAATCTGAAATATTTCTATAAAGATCCAGCCTTTCTTATCCACGTAAAGTTGCAATTTTTATTTATTTCGAAAGATTTTTTTATTTCCGAAAATCTTTACGCAATTCATAAACAATCAGAATTCGAAGAACTAACCAAAAACCTAAAAGATAAATTCCACACAGAAACTCAGAAGGACCGTTTCTCTTCAAGCACACGCAGGAGCAATGAAGTCTCTGAGGGTAACAAAGACGATGGAATCTCTCTGGACATGGATCGGCGTTGAGGAATCCACCATCTTCGCCTTCATCTCCGGAATCTCCTCCGTCTCCGTCAGCTTCAACGCCTTCCCGTTCAGCAGAACGACGTCGCTCTGTATATCTCCGTCCATCGGCGTCAGATGGTACTCCTCCCTCTTCGCCCTCGCGTAATCTATGTAGTAATTCATATCATCTTCCACTTTCAAGTCGAACGATTCCGTGTTCGAGAGGTTTATCACCACGAGCGTCACTCCTGGCTGTTGCGGACAAAACGTGTCAGAAGAAGAACCAAAACCTGAGATTTTTTTTGGTCTGGTCTCAAGAAAAAAGTTTGTTCTTTGTTTGATCTGTACATGTACCTTTTCTCTTGCACAGTGTGCGTATACGCGTAGATACGGGCTGCCATTTTGGGTGACTCTGAGCACTCTTGAGCCCATGAGACGGTGCCAGAGAAGTGCACTGATGAACAAATTAAACACAGAAAGTGCATTAGGGTTTACAGTTCTTGCCGAGTTCAAAGTATAGTTCAGTCAATGATTTAGCGTTTCCAAGACCGAAAAGTGATTCCCGAATTCATTTCATTCGAAAGCATAAAAGGAGTGAAAAAGTGAGTGACCCGTAATAGTCGGGGTTGGGGATGAAAGAGGTGGTGTTGAGAAGAGCATAGTTTCCACCGATAAGGGCTTGTCTGCAGAAGACCTTATGGTTGTATGCTGAAGTCATTCCCAGTTGATCAATGTACCTGCAGAATGATCAACACCCGCAAAACGTTTCAGCGTTTGGGCGAAAACCCGAATCAGATTATAAAGAAAAGGTTTCAACTTTTACCAGAATCCATTGGCAAAAGTGTGGGAAACATCTTTGCCTCCACTGTTGTATGCACCTCCAGCTTCACCAACCCAAGCTCCAGCCCATGGTCCGAATCTGTCAATAGTTGATGATATGTCTTTGAACGTCTGAGCTATTTGGGTCAGGTAGAATGGATCTTGGATCTTGTCAATCAAGGTTTTGTCAACACCTGCAACAAGATTCGCACAAGAGACAGAGCAATAAGAGGGAAGAAAAGATTCGATCTGATCTGATTGAAAAGTAATTAAAAAGGATGTAAGCAGATGCCTGGGCCAAGGTTGTAAATATGGTGGGTGAGTCCATCGACGACATCTGGACCAGTTTGCAGAAGAAACTCATTGAACCATTTCTCGTCGTAGAAACCTGCAGGTCCCAAAACCTTAGGCGTGGTCACATTTGGGTAAAGCTTCTGCACCAGTTTCTTCAGCATCTTGAAGTCCTTTGCATATTGATCCACGTTGATCCTTGCAGAAACTCCAGAAGAACACAACTCATTCCCTGAAAAAACCCAAATCTCAAATCAGTTTCTTTCTCAATCTTTAACCCTTTTTTTTGTAGTTGCTTGTTTTGCAAGAAAGATGAGAGATTCGTTTAGATACCGAGTTCGTATGAATCGATGCTGTAACCCTTTTCAATGGTGTATCTCATCAGATCATGAGAGTTTCTTGCATCCCAGTCTCCGATCCAGAGGCCTTCTTCTGTTTCCGACTTCTTCTTCCCGAACAAAGCATTCAGACCAAATGTTATTTTGGCTCTGCAAAACAGTAGTCCGGTTAATGAACTAAACCGAACCAAGCCAGATAACAGGAGCGAAGCAACAGTGTGAAACTGTATAAGATTTGATACCCGGTTTGGTTGAAGAGAGAGTTGAGCTGATCCCATCTGTCCATGGTGAGACAACCATCCGTGAAACCAAACAAGCCGTCGTCGTTTCTCTCGAACTTTGGACAGTTTTTGACTGACTTCCCAATCTTGTACAGAACTTGATCCTGTAATGATCCTCCAAGCCTTATCCTCAGTGGGCTAAAAGCTGTTTCATTTTCATATTTTCAAAAACAAAGATCAACACTTTTGTAAACCCAATAATGGAATTTGTAATACACACACACACTTGGGAATGAGATCCACACATGCGGAGACCGATCGAAATTAAAGACTAACCCTTGATGGCATTTTGAAGGATGGAGTTGGACAGATCCTGAAAAGATTATACAATATATATATATACACACAGATTGAATACAGATATATTCATTAACTAGATT